TCTGCATTAGTCGTCAACCAGATCAAAGGAGAGTGGGAAACTCGTCAGGCCAGCCTGGTGCCTTACAGGGATTATGCAAGGAGATTGTTGATGTTCTTTGATAAAATCGAGTTCCATCATGTGCCAAGAGGCGAGAATCGATGGCATATGCCTTGGTTACCCTAGCTTTGATGTACAAAGTAAACTTCTGGAATGAAACTCCAGCCATCACTGTTATGCGTCTTGATAGACCTGCTTTTGTGTTTGCAATTGAGAAAGCATCGGATGGAAAGCCTTGGTATTTTGATATCAAGCATTTTCTTAAGACTCAGGAATACCCATCTAAGGCATCCAGTAAAGATAAGAAGATTCTGAGGAGGTTAGCCGGTAACTTTTATCTGAACAAGGACGATGCACTCTACATGAGAAATTTTGACATGGTCTTGTTGCGCTGTGTTGATGAGCTTGAAGCAAACCTGTTGATGGAGGAATTCCACGAGGGTTCTTTTGGTACTCATTCCAATGGAAATGAAATGGCTAGGAAATTGTTGAGAGCTGGGTATTATTGGATGACTATGGAATTCGATTGCTTCAAATACGCCAGAAAATGCCATAAATGTCAGATTTATGCGGATAAGGTGCATGTGCCACCTGCTCCTCTGAATGTGTTAACATCTCCTTGGCCTTTTGCAATATGGGGAATCGATGTGATCGGAAAGATTGAGCCGACTGCTTCTAATGGACATCGCTTCATTTTGGTTGCGATTGATTACTTTAAAAAGTGGGTAGAAGCAGCGTCCTACGCTAATATCACGAAACAGGTGGTAGCCCGATTCATAAAGAAGGACATCATTTGTTGTTATGGTATTCCTGAAAGGATCATTACCGATAATGGTTCAAATATGAATAACAAAATGATGAAGAAACTGTGTTAGAGTTTCAAGATTGAGCATCACAATTCTTCTCCATATCGTTCGAAGATGAATGACGCTGTTGAGGCAGCTAACAAGAATATCAAGAAGATTGTGCAGAAGATGGTAGTAACCTACAAGGACTGGCACGAGATATTGCCCTTTGCTTTTCACGGTTATCGTACTTCCGTGCATACATCAACCATGGCAACTCCTTTCTCACTGGTGTATGGTACGGAAGTAGTCCTGCCATTGGAAGTTGAGATTCCTTCTTTAAGGGTATTGTCAGATGTAAAGCTTGACGAAGCTGAGTGGGTGCGAACCAAGTTGAATCAGTTGAGCTTGATTGATGAGAAGAGATTAGAGGCTATTGCTTATGGTCGGGTGTACCATAGTAGGAAGAAGAAAGCCTTTGATCAGAAAGTGCGTCCTCGGTGTTTCCAGACGGGTAATTTGGTGTTGAAAAGGATCCTTCCTCCTCAAACAGATTATAGGGGAAAATGGACTCCTAACTATGAAGGTTCGTATGTGGTAAGAAATGTTTTCTCTGGTGGAGCCTTATTACTATCTATCATGGATGGTGAAGATTTTTCGTCCCCTGTGAATGCAGACACGGTTAAAAAACACTTTGCTTAAAAGAGACCCGCTGAATAGAAAAAGAAAAGTCCAGGCAAAAATGGGGCATCCCGACAAACCATGAAAAAAGAGAAGGTTCGGGCAAAAATTAGGGACAAAAAAGGAAAGATGTAAACCCGCAAAGTTGAAAACCTGAAAAGGCGACTTTGACAAAAATGGGTATCCCGGTGGATTGAAAACCCGAAAGGGCGATCCAGGCAAAAGTTAGGGATTTTGAAAGCAAATAACTGCGGTCTGCGTTCGATCTGTGAGCTTAAGAGTAGTTATCCTGAAGGAAAGGAATCAGTCCAGTCAGTCTTTTCAGAAGACAAAATACGGGGCACATCGAAGACATACGGGGCACATCGAAGACATACAGGTCATAGCCGAATCGACACACGGGTGGGTTCGCGTTAAGACTGACAAGGATGCAAGGGAAGTGATGTTTGGACCGAATGATATCAGTTTGATTATTGTAATCAGTTAGAAATATTTTATTTATTCTGTTCCGTTATTTGTTGCATGTGTTGTTTGTTGTTAACATTTTTGTAACAAAAAATCATTAATATATGAAAATATAAGGTTACAACAATTGAAATGAGATACTAGATTATGACACAGAGGTTGCTCCGACATTGAGACAATTTTTCCGATTGTGTGCAGGCTGACGACATATACTGCATAATCTTATCATTTTATCAACCATGTCCATTTTTGTTCTTATACGCCATCAAGATATAACCAAAATGAGGGTACATCATACCATAGCCATAACACACAAACATCTTTCAATAGGCAAAACGCTCATACATCATACCTTAGCCTACACACATAAACATCACAATAATCTTATAGCTCTCAAACACCAATACCATTTCAACCTTTCACCAACGAAGCCTTCACACCAATGTCCCCCTTCAATCGTCCAGGTCGCACACCAATGACCACTTCATCACATCCGGACTACTCTGCCATGGATTGCACGCTCAATTTCAACACACAAGACCTCTTGGAAATGCAAGAAATTCTTAGGAAATCAGCTGTGAATGTTCTCGAAACTTCAACTCCTCAAACACTTGAAGTGAATCAACAACGAGGGGGACGAGTGCAACGAGTGAAGGTGCCTAGGAGATGTGGAACCGGTGGCTAGTATGACCAACTCGGTCGCCAATATTAATTTATGTAATATCATTTTTAATTAATTATTAATGTTAGTTATTTAAATTTAAAAAGTTCACTTTCAAGTCTGTCTCCAGTTGAATTGACGACACCCTTATGACATTTATACTGTGTCGTCAATTGGATTGGCAACACCATGTGTTGTCTCCAATCCAATTTGCGACGTTTCTTAATCTTTGTGAAGGATCGTCAATTGGTATGACGTCTACACTCTATCAATACCCTAAAATGGGGTACTTTGAAAAATAATTTGAATACTGAGTTATTTAAAAAGAAAACTTTAAATATAGAATATTTGGGTAAAAAATTCTAAAAAAAATCTCAAAAAAACTAAAATTAAAGGATAAAAAAGTCTCAATAAAAATAAAATTGAAGAATAAAAAACTAAAGTTTAAAATAAGAGATTAAAAATTTAAAAAAATATATATTTAAATTTAAACCCTATTTTATTCGCTAAATTAGTTGTTGACATATGACACCAATCCCAATTTAATAAATATTATTCAATTTATTTATTATATAACACATCTCAAATGTTTGTCACATAAATCTAAAGACTAGTGTTATAAGTTATATTTTAAAATATATTAAAATACTTTTTTATAAATAATTTTAAAAAACTAAAATTCTAATAAGTATATTTTTCTTTTATTTTAATTATATATGACTTTTTATTATTATTTTATTAATTATATGTTAAAATGTTAAAAGAACAAAAATGCTCACACCAAGTATTAAACTCATGACAGAGTGCAGTGCATGCAAGAAACTCTCCTTACCACTAAGTTGTTATGCATTTATTGTTTATGATTTATATTAAATATATATAATATTAACTAAACTAAATTTAACTAAATTAAACTAAATTATATTTAGGTGCATATTGAAATGTTTATAATTTATTTATTTATTTAAGGATCGTTTTTCGAATTCGCCCAAATGGACCCTTTAATTTTTAAATATTACATAAACAAAATTTAGCCTATACTATATGATTAAGGATTATCAAATATAACAAAGATTAAAACCAAACCATGGAACCTATGAGATCTAAAATTAAACAATTGAAAAATTTAATGAAAAAATAATATTATAATTAATATTTTATCAGTCTCATATTTGACCAATTTGCGATTAGTTGTATTAATTTTAGTGAAAAAAACTAATATTATTTACTAAAATATTCCTATTATATGTAGTTAATAAAATAGTTTAATAAAATGAAAACTAATAAATATGAGTAAATAGTAAAAAAATAATAATAAATGCTACATTGATAAGTAAATGAATAATTATTTTGAAACAAAGTAATGTATTATCGACACTCTTTTTAACTAACGTTGTTTATATCACTCAATCACTTATTATAAATAAATGTGAGTTCACTATCGAAATAGATCTCACAGATTGTGAGTCACAATGGTAGGATATAACTAGAATATAACATTTAATCAACTATTTATTAGTAGTGACAAAATTTTATATATAAAAACGAATTTCTTGAAAAACAGCATTAAAAAACGGCCATACTGCCGACCTTAGTTTGACTGAAATCTTTTGCAATAATGTGATATTTTTCTTTACTACAGTACAAATAATTATATGATGATTAAATATATCTATACCAAATCTTACATATTTCAATTATTATTATTATTATTATTGAGAAGTAAAAAAAAAACAAAACAGAAAAGAGTTTTTCCTAGTTTCACAGTACGTGGGTTGTTTTGTCCTCATCCTCCACCCCGTTTAATTAGCAACCTCGCCACTTCGCAAACAGAAAATCTCGGAACCAGTGCTTACTGTCCCCCACTACTCTCTCTGCTAAATTCCCGTTTTCATCACTTTTCCATTTACAATCTCATAAAGTTACCATTTTTCCATATTCAATCTCGCAAAACCCACCATTTTTACTTTCCTAGTGAGTCATCACACACACACATCTTCCCTTCCACACCTACTTATTTCTTCTTTCCTGCAAAACCATTCATAAAAACGTGTAATTTATTATTTTTTGATACTATATTCTTTGTTAATCTCATACTCTTTTTATTGCTCATTAAAAAAATTGCTTTTTTATGTAATGGGATTGGGTTTTAGTTTTAGTTTTAGTTTTATTAACCCATTTCATTGGATATGCTTTTCTTTTGCTTCTTTATTCATTTGCCTTAGATACCAAGTGGGGTATAACTCCAAAATTAAATCTTTATTATTTTATCTTTATTGGGTTTGTTCCGTTATCTTATAATCTTATATTCTTAGTTCTTACCCATGGTATCTTATTCTGAAGGTGAAGCAAGAGGTGGGAAATTCAAAATGTCTAGGGTGTTTTTTCATATGTTGGTCTTTTTATGGATATCTTGTTGGTTGATGTTGACTGGAGAAGCTCAAGTTGATGAAATCAAATACAAAGATCCAAAGCAACCAATTGCTACGAGGGTTAAGGACTTGTTGAGTAGAATGACTTTGGAGGAGAAGATTGGTCAGATGACTCAGATTGATAGGAGTGTTGCCAATGTTAATGTTATGAAAAACAGTTTCATTGGTGAGAACTAACAGAATTCCATTTTACTTTCATAGTTATTATTATTGTCTTTTGAATTGAAATAAAACTCATAATCTGTAACAAATCTAATAGTTGTATGAATTGCATATTAATTTCACTTGCATATGTGCAGGGAGTGTATTAAGTGGTGGCGGTAGTGAACCGCTTCCGAAGGCTAGTGCTCAAGATTGGGTGAATATGATAAATGAATTTCAGAAAGGAGCCTTGGCAAGTAGATTGGGGATTCCAATGATATATGGTATTGATGCTGTTCATGGACACAATAATGTCTATAATGCCACCATATTTCCCCATAATGTCGGGCTTGGATGTACCAGGTAAGTTGAGCTTTTTGTTTATTATTTGTCTGTTTGGTATCGATTTGGATAGAAACATGGTCTTAGATAGAAGATTATGGTGATAGTTGATCTATGTACTCGACCCTACTTAATGTGATAAGGCTTGGTTGTTGTTGTATTTGTCTGTTTGGTATTGATTTGGATAGAAACATGGTAATGGATAGAACATTATGGCGAAAGTTGATCCGTGTAGCCAACCCCACTTCCTGGGATAAGACTTGATTGTTGTTGAATTTGTCTGTTTGGTATAGGAATTAGGAACAACATTTGATGCCAAAATTTTAATGCATCTTAATATATGTTTATATTGCATGTAAATCTATTGGATTGGATGCATCCGTTATTTGCTATGTTCTAATAATCTTCGACGAACAGGGATCCTTCCTTGGCACAAAGGATTGGCGCTGCAACTGCTCTTGAAGTCAGAGCGACAGGAATTCCTTATGTTTTTGCTCCATGCATTGCGGTAAATAAAATATACTATGATAAACTTGTTTAAAAAACTTATTGGACGGGTTTGGGCATTCGAGGTTGTCGGATATGAACTATTTTTCGTTAAATTTTACTGATACTCCTTAAATATTAATTATAGGTTTGTAGAGATCCAAGATGGGGTCGGTGTTATGAAAGCTATAGCGAGGATCATAAAGTCGTACAAGAAATGACAGAGATTATACCTGGTCTACAAGGAGAAATCCCTCCTCATTTCAAGAAAGGATTTCCTTACGTCGGTGGCAAGTATGACATTATTCGTTGTAAAGCCTTTTTATGAATCATGAAAAAAAAAGATGGTTGCATGATTGACCTGTATTTTGTATGTAGTTAATGATTTATAAAAGGTTGGTTATGTTCCTTTATCCTTAACTAGGCTTATAATTATATTGTTTTAGGACAAAGGTAGCAGCTTGTGCTAAGCACTTTGTTGGAGACGGTGGTACGACCAAGGGAGTAAATGAGAACAATGCGGTGGTTGACTGGCACAGTTTGCTGGGCATTCACATGCCTGCATATTCTGATTCCATCATTAAGGGGGTCGCTACCGTTATGGTTTCATACTCCAGTTGGAACGGTGTAAAAATGCATGCAAATCGTGATCTAGTCACTGGCTTCCTCAAGAACACCCTTAAGTTTAAGGTGATTCAATTCTCTTTATTTTTCTTTTTTCTTATAACTAACTATGTGATAAATGCAGCGGTTTTTAGAACTATTAAGTTAAGTATTAAGTCTAATACAATTGTTATTCAATTATTTGTCAGGGATTTGTCATCTCAGATTGGCAAGGAATTGACAAAATCACGACACCTCCCGGCTCAAACTACACATACTCGGTTCAGGCTTCCATTCAAGCCGGTGTTGATATGGTTAGTTTGTTCTATATGCTGAAACAATGTAATGCTTATTGAAGAATATAATTATAGAACTCAGTTTTTCTTTTTGCCGATTAATTATTTTAGGTGATGGTCCCAATGCAATTCGAAGATTTCATTCAGGACCTTACGCTCTTGGTCAAGAGTAATGTCATTCCAATGGATCGTATTGATGATGCCGTGGGGAGAATTTTGCTTGTAAAGTTCACCATGGGTCTTTTTGAGAATCCTCTAGCCGATTTCAGTTTAGTCAATGAGCTTGGAAGCCAGGTAATGATTCATTCAAACCATCATCCCAACGATAAAATAGATATTCAGTAACGAACTTGATTTGTTTTTTCTAAACAATGAGAACAATAAAAATTGACGATCCTTTTCATCGGATGAAAATAGTGTATTCGAATTCAATGAAAATAAGAACAAAAGTAGCATGCAACTTTATCCATGTTTATGTTACATGTAATTTAGAATATATCCTATCATAATTAAGAGATTGAGAGCTGAGGTATTTGAATACGCCGTTTAATTAGGCACACAGAGATCTAGCAAGGGAAGCTGTGAGAAAATCTCTCGTGCTGCTTAAGAACGGGAAAAGTCAAAGTGCCCCACTTCTTCCTCTTCCAAAGAAAGTCCCAAAACTCTTAGTTGCTGGCACTCATGCTGATAATTTGGGTTATCAGTGTGGCGGTTGGACAATCAAATGGCAAGGATTCATCGGCAATACCGACACAAGCGGTAAGTCACTCAGACACTCATACGAATTTGAGTTTTTGCCTATGGAAGTATATAAAACATGACAGTATCTATCTTTCCGCCAGTAAACTATAATTGAATTGAAGACTTTTGTTTTTCCAATGGACAGGAACTACTATTCTCAGTGCTATAAATTCAACAGTCGATCCAAGCACACAAGTTGTTTTTCGCGAAAACCCTGACGCCGATTTTGTAAAATCCAACAACTTTGAATTTGCCATTGTTGTTGTTGGCGAGCCTCCTTATGCGGAGACTGCTGGGGACAGCACATCACTTACAATGTTGGATCCCGGTCCAAATATCATCAACAATGTCTGCGGAGCTACCAAGTGCGTGGTTGTCACCATCACTGGCAGGCCTATTGTAATCGAACCATATCTTTCGTCCATAGACGCATTGGTTGCAGCATGGTTACCGGGCACCGAGGGACAAGGTGTGACAGATGTTCTATTCGGTGACTACGGTTTCAGTGGCAAACTTGCAAGGACATGGTTCAAATCTGTAGATCAACTCCCAATGAATGTTGGAGATCCTCACTATGATCCACTTTTTCCTTTTGGTTTCGGCCTAACATCCGAATCCGTCAGAGACCTAGTAACAAGGTAACTTTCAATGACATTTCTATTAACAATTTGACTAGTGGAGATAGTGTTTTAAACTGACGGAACTATGAAACGATCGATTGTGCAGGTCAACTTCAACCGCAGAATTTGTAAGGGCTTGTATAGTTACCATTATGGCGACGCTACTGACGAGCTTATATTTAATTGGTATGTTTGTGATTGTTACTTGAGTCACAAGTAAGTTTATTACATCAACATAACCCTCTTATGTTTAATGTGTCTCTACATATAATTTATAGGTTAAGCAATGTATGTTTATGGGAACTTATTGGAGCTGGAGGCTAGAGAACTAACTTGGGATACTTCCTAGATTAGTCCTATTTTAGTGGAATTCATTGTATTATGACATTATTATTCATGAATTAGGACATTTTTTTCAGTACATATACAGATAATTTCTTTATTCGCCAGTATTTATTATACAAAACCCGATTCCTGATCTTGAATTCAGAAGAGATAATCGGTTAAGTAAGGAATCCCTCTGAGTTGTAGTCGAGCATTGTTAACGTAGTCAATATGCTCAATCTGGGATGTCATCACACCTTGACAATTCCTGATATCATGTTCAATAATGTCGCATACATCACACAACACCATATTAATATGAAATTTCTCGAACAAAACATCTACTTTAGAAGCAATAAGACCAGAGGCAACAACATCATACTTGTCTTTTTCGGTAGACCGCTAGAATGATTACAAATCCCACCTTATGTGGTGGAAAATGACTGAAAATTTGAAATTGTTTATCGGATTTTCGAAGATGCATCTTCATATGCCCAAAGGAATTACACTTTTATTTTGTAAAAAATATAGTTGTAACTAGGTGGCAGCGTTCAAATGACATAAAAATAGGTGGCAAATCCTTCAAACTAGATGCAGTAGTGCTTCATCATATGTTGCAAAATATGTGGCAAATCCTTCAAATTACATACCACATTTGTTACTCTCTTATATGTTATACTTTCTTGGGCTCAAATGACAAAGTTAAACAATACAGTTTAAGTGAAGAGAGGTTAGGGAAGTACACTTTTGGATTTTTTTTGGAAGTATATTTTCGAATTAACTTTTTTTTACAAAACGGTGTAACTCATTTATACTAGAATTTTTTGTGTTTGGAATGTGTTTGGAGATCCGTCTCAAGAATTTAGAAATATTATTATACTTTTACAAGGGTGTGATAGTAATCTATAGGGATTTGAAAAATGATTCTATCTATAACAATCTATCCATCATATTTTCTAAACACACACACCCTCTCTCACTAATATTTCTCTTATTTCTTGTTTTATTCTTTCCTTTTCTAAAATTTTCTTTTTCCTTTATTTGTTTATTGTATTAACTTTTTCTTTTTATTAATATAGGTGAGTTAGAGACATATGATCATTGTTTTGTAGGGGTCTCAACATAGTTGAAATGTCTAAATTACACTTTAAAGTCTTGATGCTCATGATTTAATATATATATATATATATATATATATATATATATATATATATATATATATATATATATATATATATATATATATATATATATATATATATATATATATATATATATAAAATAAAGGATTTAACGTAATCGAATAGACACAAATTATAATATATTATTTAATCAAATAATAATCAAGAATAATTAGAATGGAGTACCTTGTCGAATGCAAAAGACAAATTATAATATATTATTTAATTAAACAACGATCAAGAATAATTAGAACGGTGTACCTTGTCGAATTTAAAAGACTTCTGGTTAAGGAGAATGAATATGAGATGATTACTACTCTCATTGCTGGATAGGATTTTTAGAGTGTATTAATTATCTAATGGAGAGACACTTAAATAGCTAAATCGTTGAGGGTAAGGACATCTCATATTAGAGTTTGGCCTAACACAACCTTACAAAACCGGTTGGAAATAAATGGTGGGTGGTCCGATAGCGGAAATCATATAAGGTGTTCCATCGGATCTTAAATGAGGCTCTGATACCATATTAGAGTTTGGCCTAACACAACCTTACAAAACCGGTTGATAGAGAGAGGATTGTCTCCACTTATAAACACATGTTCATGCCATATATTGTCTGATGTGGGACTTTTAACACTAAAGTCCCACATTGGTTGGAGATAGAGCATTGAAATAGTTTATTTAGAGTGACACCCCTCATCTTACCAACCGGTTTTGTAGGGTTGAGTTAGGCCCAACCACATTTCTTAACATGGTATTAGAGCCTATTGATCGGACCTTGGACAGTCCACCGTTTAAAAAATCCACGTACCAAGCCCAAAAAGAGTGCTGGACGTGAGGGGGTGTGTTAGGAAGATCCTAAAGTCTCATATTGGTTGGAGATAGAGCATTTAAATAGTTTATATAGAGTGACACCCCTAATCTTACCAACCGGTTTTGTAGGGTTGAGTTAGGCCCAACCACATTTCTTAACATCTCATCAGAGTTAACTGAATGGTTTAATCCATCACGATCCATTCAAACACAAAACTCAATAAAACAATTCATCTATTTGATGTTCAATAATAATAAACCATAATATAATTAATTAATAATTAATTATATCAATCCATATTTGATTAATTAAATAATTAATCTAACAATTAATCCTCGTACTCCTGATAGACTTGCTCAGAAATATGTTATTTATTTAGAAACAATTCTTCTAATGCATGATAATTAGTCCCAAAAAATGTTCACATATACATTATAGCATCAACAACTAACTAATTTTATTATATTAAGTGGAGTCGACTACATGAATTAAATTACATCATAATATTTTTTTTTTATCAAAGATCATATTTATATCCAATTTGTTAATCTCAAGATTTTTCTTAAAAGTCTATTTTATAATTTTTCTAAGTCTTTCTATATCTAATTGTTCTACTTTTCTCCATTTTATCTACTCTTCTTACAATAAAATCTATAGGTCTTATCTCTAAATGTCAAACCAACTAAACATATTTTCTACCATCTTTTCTATCCAAACACTCTTCAATATTGTCATCACTACTCTTATCTTGTCTAATCTTACTTTACATCCACCACAACATCCTTATCTCTACCGCACTTACTATATTTTTATGTTGGTTCTTAATCGCTCAACATTCTGTCTCATACAACATCGCATGTCTTACTGATTTACGATTAAAAAAAATTCCTTCAACTTGAGCAATACTTTTGTATCATATAAAACCCCTAAGACCATTCTCCATTTCAAACACCCAACTTGAATTTGATGATTTACATCTTATATTTCTCCGCCGTTTTGTAGCATGTACCTAAAATATTTAAATCGTGTAATTTATGGTAAGATATGGTCTCCAAATTTCACATATAGGTTAGAAACGCTTCTCATTTTGTTAAAATTACATTTCTTATAATCCATCTTACTTCAATTTTGGTGAAATACATACGTTTTTAAGGCTCGTCTCCAACCTCTCACTAAAATCCTCTTTCGACTCTCCAACTATGATTATATCATCTAAAAAAACATATTTCGGTGTTAACCCTTGAATGTGCTCCACAAGTACATCCAAAATTAAAGTGAAAAAGTAAGGGCTTGAAGTTAAAATTTGGTTCGATCCTATTGTTATGGAAAAATTGTTTGTCTTACTACCCTGGGTTCACACACGAATCGAGACACCCTCATACATATCTTGGACAACAAAAATATATGATATCATAACCTCTCTTTTCTCTTAGGGCTTTTCACAAAATTTCTCTATAACTCTATCACACGCCTTCTTCAAGTCAACGAAAATTAAGTGCATGTCATGGTGATCCATCTGATTGTGCTCTATCACACATTATAGTAAATAATCGCTTCTATGGTCGGTCTCCCAAACATAAAACCAAATTGATTATTAATTATTTAAGTCTCTTTTCTTAGTCTGAGTTCAATCACTTTTTCCAATAACTTCATGATTGACGCATAAGTTTAATTCCCTTATAATTTTCACAATTTTGTATATCCTTATTGTTCTTATAGATCGGAATTAAAGTGATTCTTCTCCATTCATCAAGAATTTGTTTTTGCCTCATAATTTTGTTAAAATGTTTGGTGAGCCACTCAAAACCTATATCTCCAAGAGTTTCCACACTTCAATATGTTACCTTGATATTACTTATCATTTTCAATGCCTCTTTTACCTCGTGTTTATTAGTGCGAGAATAGTAATTATAATTTCGATCATCTTCTATAATATTGATTCTATTGGAGTCTTATGAGATACCATATCTTTTATTAAATAAACTTTAAAAATACTTATTTCACTTATCCTTTATATCATTTTCATGAACCAAAACTTTGCTTTCTTCTTCTTTAACACACATCACTTGATCAAAATCTCTTGTCTTTCTTTCTTTTTCCTTAGCAAGCATGTACATGGACTTTTTTTTCTTCTCCTTCCTTAGTTTCTATAAATTTATATAATCCTTCAAAATCTTGAATACTTGCTTTAATCATTGCCTTCTTGATATTTTTCTTAACTTTCTTATACTTTTTTTTTTCCTTCCAATTTCAACATTTATACACCTAATTATTCTTTAAAACATTCATTTTTTACTCTAACTTTATACCGAACACTTTCATTCCGTCACAATGATTTTTTTACCCATAGGTCCATAATCTCTTGATTCTCCCAACACCTCATTAGCTACTTTTTTAATCTATTGTATCATCTTATTTTACATATCATTTGCACCTCATTGTAGCTGTCTGAAACCCCCTCTAATATCTTCGATTGGAAACTCTTGTTTTCACCCTTTAAATACCACAACTTACTTCATGGAACTCCCATATGACTTTTTCTCTACGCTCTCCTCTTGACTCTTATATCAATTATCAATACTATATTTGGTAGTTAAAACCAATCAAGGTATAACATGATTGTCCAAGCAAATTTTCATATTTGATATTCTAATAAGAAAAAATCTATTTGAGAATATGTCACCTCACTCTTATATAGGATAAGATGACCATCTCTTTTTTTGAATTATGTATTAATTAATATGTCACCTCACTTTTATATATATGACAATATGAGCATCTCTTTTTTTGAATTATGTATTAATTATAGTAAAATCAAAATCCTACAAAAATCTAGGATGAATTTACCGTCTACATTTACCTTCACAAAACCACACCTTTAATTTTGAATTGTCTAATTCTTTCGTCTTTTCACTCATTCATTTAGTTTCTTACGTAAAATTGATCTTTCTCCTAAGTACAATG